AATCCGTTTTATTAATTTTCATAAGTAAACAAAATTTACGTATGTAAAAATTATGAAAATTTATCTAAAATGGTAAATAAATTCACTAAAAAATTTTATATAAAATTCAATTATTTAAATACAAATTAAAAAAATTTTTTTCATAATTCAAATAATTAAATTTTCATAATTTCATATTTTTGAAGTTGTATTTTCATATTTTAAGAAAAACCATAATTTTTTAATCACTTTAGTGACATTTGAATATCAATTTCATTTCTTTGTTAAAGTTTGAGAAATTTGTTCTATCAAAAAAAAATAATATTCTTTGCCTATCAAATGATCTGAATATAATTATAGCAATTATTATTCATATTGCATAACGATTTAAATGACCTCATCATCGTGATAAATCTTCCGAACAAGATTTGTCGTAGAACTTTTTGCATAATTGATAATAGAACTGATTTCCGCTTTATTTTGTTTAAACTCACTTTCGCAAATCTTCTTTTTTTACTCAAATCTACTGTATTTATAAAAGTAAACACATAATGCAGGAAAATATTTAAAAATAAATTTAAAAATAAAGTTTACAAAACAATTGGATTGTAAATCAAAAACTTTTTTTGAAACAGTGATAGACATTGTCAAGAGCGGTCCACAAATTATGAGCTAACTTAATTTTGAAATCTATAATTACTAGATACATAGTACAATTGCAAAACAATAAATAGTAATTCAAATTAAGATGTAATTCATAATGTACAATATTGATGTATCAATATAACAACGTGTTAGTGTATTAATATAATCAGTATGGATTATTATTTAATTGCTATAACATGATATTCATCAATTAATACATAATTAAAATTATATAATGCTTTTATAAATCTTAGATATCTAATTACAAAACAGAGATAATAAATAGTAATAAATAGTAATGTGTCTTAGATTGTGAAATAAATTACAGAATACAACCGTACTATGCACATGGGCATAATAAGCTATTATAATGCCATTATATATCTGAGCTATAATGTGAACGTAATTCATATGCATGCACGGTTTATCACTCTAAACACTATTATAATTCGAGTTTAAAATATATTCGCAAATGTACTCGAAAATGCAGGAACATAATATGTGTTCTCTTATTATAAATCATATTCTCATTATAGAATTTATATCAATCATAGAATAATTTATATCGACAATTGAATGAAAGAATGGTGATCAAGTTATATATATATATATATATATATATATACGGTGATAAGCGAGAACAAATTCATTGACATGCTAGCTACAGAATTCGATAAATGTATACTATTACATAGAGAAAATGTATACTATTACATAGAGAAAATAATTGTGTGCGAGCGCCATGATTAAATTATTAATTAAATTGCGGAAGCGTTAATAATAAAGGTAATCAATTGGAGAATATTAATAAAATACATTTTCGTATGTATAATAAATAATGAAAACAAATTGTTTTTCTTGAAACACGTTTTACTTTAAGAAAAAAATTCTTTCTCTTACTGATTGCGAGAGAAATTGCGTATATCTGAAAAGCTGAATAATTATTCTAAAGGGAAAACTAAAAGAGAAAAATCAGAAGTTGAAGAGACGCTTACGAGAAACACAGCCAAAAGCCAACCCGTCAATTTGTCTCTATTTTATTTATCTTTCTTAATACTAATTGGTATTCATCGGTCCAATTTTTTCAATTACATAAAAAATATTTGTTATAAACAATTTTTTACAACCTTACATAATTTTAAATCACATAATTTTATGCCTTGCATTTTAATTCTTAAAATAAACAAAATTTAATTATATTAACTTTTCAAAGATATATTAATTTAAAACATTAGTGATCCGTTAATATTAATTAAAGAAATTTTAGAACAACTATCAGTTAGGATTAAAAATTCTAATTTATTCATATTATTGCACTTTTACGGTGATTATTTGCCAATATATTGAGATCAAATTATATACATTTTATTTATTTTTTTTAGAAAAATCTTGCTTATAGTTTACATAAAAAATTGCAAAGTAAATAAATCTTAGATGTTTTTCATCGACATCAACCGTGATTGCAAAAAATCAAAACGAGGAAAAAATAATGCAATAGAAGGATTCATCGCGTTGCAAGAGAAATGTGCAAAAAAAACGATTAAAATTGTTAATTTAAAATGGGGCATATCAGAAAAATCAACATTTATTCTTAGTTTCTTAGCATTTAGCACGAATCACTGTGTCTTGTTCTCAGAACCTACTCTTCATGACGAGAAGAAATATTGTCCATTTATACGTTTCATTAATTTAAGAATTGTACAATTTCATCAACATTAAAAATTTTTTCCCTAATGATAAAGTAAAGTTATATTATCGTCATAATACAGTATTTTCGCCGCGTGTTTTATATTCTAATTGTTGTCATTTGACAACAATATGTAAAAAGTTTCTCGCAGGAAGTGTTACGAGAGTTACATCAGGACTCATCACACTATCATTTTGAAACCACTATCTCCGCGAAAGCCACTTGCCTGCGCGCAGACATAAATAGAAAATTCCATTACATTGGGACATAAAAAAAAGCACGAGAGAGAAAGAGAGAAAAGGAAGGAAGAGAGAGAATAGAGGGCGCGGATTTTTTCTACCACGCGAGCATATCCCATTGTTTGATAGCTCGCACGAATATCGATCGTAATAGCGCCGGATGACGTCGCCGAACGAGGATTGAATGTGTCAAACTGGAACAAAGCCTCGCCCGTCTCGCTTATCATACTTTAACACCAATGAAAGACTCGCGATGAAGTTTTTCAATGAAAAGCAGATGCTGCGAGGAGATATCAGCTCGAGAAATTTTGCATAATTAATTATGATTTATAAAGCAAAAATTAAACAGGATTTGCAACAAGCAAACATTTTTCGTAAAAAAGATAAGTATAAAAGTTGATTTGAGTAACATCATCTACTTCAATTATTTGATGTAAGACATGAGATATAAGAGATAATATATACATAGTTACAATTTAATAAGCAAAATTTGTTTCTTTGATCAACGATTATTCAATAAAGATCGAAAATATAATTACATTGTAGTAAAATTAATGAAATTAATGTTAATATTATAAAAATAATCGATTTATATTTTATATTTCATTATATTTTCTATATTTTATAATTGTGGATGAAAAAAAATATGATAATTAAAATCAATGACATGTAAAAAATAAGAAAGTTATCTCACATCTGTTTTAACAAGTGAGAACAGACAATTGACAGAACAACGATCATTCACATTGTTATCAAGACGATATACTATCGTCAATTCCAGATTTGTACGAATTTTGCACTACACGAGATATCACTTCAATAATCAATATCAGATGATGTTTTTATTTGTAAAACAATACGCACGCTTCAAAGTTTTTACGTGATGAAAGATTTAAAGTTTTAAATAATGAAGATATATGAAGTGATTAATGATAAAATTTTTTTATAAAAAAAATATAATCTATAAAATCAAAATTTAATTAGATAAATTATCTGAATTAATGTTTAATTTTTGGAATTTTATTTTATAACTGAGTTATTAAGCTATTTGATATTAAAGAACTGTTTAATATTAAAAAAGAATGCGAAAAATGAAGTAGAGCAATGAAATATTTGCTGAGGAAATATTTATATTAATTTATACAAAGATTCGGTTGTAAAATATTTACCAAGTAATTCAATAAAGTCTCGTATATTAGATTTACGATATTTTAGAAGAATTTATCTTTGACATCGACGCAATTTACAGCAAATTACATTACTGAAAACTTATGCTACTAAAAAATTTAATTATATTGTTTTTTTATCTATTTACATTTAAATTATATTCGTTTTATAATAATTTAACTTTTAAATAGTACAATAATGAATATTATTTTATTTAACTAACAAACATATTTCATTCAAACACGTTATATTTTCTTTTTTTTTTTTTACTTTGTATTATATGTATATTTTTTCATTTTTTTCTGCTATTCTTTCTATTCCATATTTAATTTTAAATATTATGTTAATATTAAAATAATAACCGATTTATATTCATTAGATTTTCTATATTTTATAATCATGGATAAAAAATCAAAGTTATTATATAAAATGGAAAAGAGAAAAGATTATATGTATAATCACGGGGTATTCTTTTTTCTGTCAAGCAGATTAATATTATTTTATTTGATTTCGTTCCAAGATATGACTTAAGCATCGCTCAATTGTAATCAATTCATTCAAAGAATTGTGCGTATTCCAAAGAGTTTATAGAATTTAGGAAGCCGGAAATTATGCGCTGCTCAGGCGGAGTCTGACGCCGTCTTTCCACATCGAGTACAATCGAAATACACACTAGAGACCGTCGTGTAAACTCACGCGATATAACGGAACAATCGAAATGTAAACTGTTGAAAGTTGCCGTAAAGATTATTTGCCTATAGAATCAATTAAGAAATGTCCAATGATTTCCTTTCTATAATCGTTTCTATGTGAATTCACATTTATATGATAACAATAAAACATTCCACCGAGAAATTTTATCTTCCCAAACGAGATTATGTTTATAAATTTCTTATTGTATTGTGCTTTTACTCATTAAAGGCTTATATGTATTTGTCAGAAATCTAACCATACTAAACTCATCATTGAATATGGCATATGTTTACATATTTTTTTTTATTTGAACCTCGATTTTTCCTTATCAAAAATTTTGTTAAAGAAGAATATAAAATATCTTTTATATTTTTTCAATGATTAATTTTATCTTTTCTAATAATGAACGTTTAGATACTTACATCAAAATAAAATTTATTTAATTCTAACAATAAAAGAATAATAATAATAGTAAAGTTACTCCTCTTTTAGGCTTAAAATCGCGTTTTTTTAATGATTTTTACAATAAACCTTATTGTAAAATTATACTATAATGTCTTATACTATATGTATAGTTGTAGGAGACTCACCTCTCTGTCTATCGTAGGCGTTTATACACTCGCTGGTCATAAACTGACTGATTAGGGCAGTTTTTCCAACTCCTCTTGTACCTAACATAGCAACATTATGTGAAGCTACTTCCTTGGGCGGCAATCGCCGTTCCTCATTTTGCTGATCGGCAGGCGCTAAAGAATTCGATCTCGATCTTCTTCTTCTAAAGGAATCTCCTCTATTGACAACACCTACCAAACATAAAGCAATCGTTAAACATTATATAGATAAAAAAATATGCAATTGTAATTAAATTTTCACATTTATATATAGAGAAAAAGCTCCAAATAATTATCATACAATAACTTAATACAAAGATTTACATAAAAATTAATTAATGATTAATAAAAGAAATAAAATAATATATAATCATGATTATTTGTTCTTAATTTTTGTTCGATTATGTTTGCAAAAGGCATATTTTAATAATATAAATAATACAAAAACGAAGTTATATACGTGTAATTATTATTCTTTTGAAAGTCAAAAGTAAAATGAATAAAATAAAAACCCGATAACAAATAAACAACAACAATTTTTTTTGTATATATACTTTATTTCGTTTATTTCAAATATATTTTACTTTGTTGCCAAAGATAGCCATTATAAATCATCAACTTCTTTTTTTATATAAATTCTAACTCATTGTGTTCCTTTCTCTATATTTCGTAATCTTCTTTTACTTTAATGTATATGTTAATATTTAGTTCGTTTATATATTGATCGAATACACCTTTGCACATTCACGTGGTTTCCGGTGTCCAAAACACATTATATATTCTAAACACCAATGCGCCCTTTACAGAGCGTTGACCTCGATTTATCTCGCTAATACCACACTCTACGTGGGCATCATTCTAATATATGCTTGGGATTGATGGAAGAAATGAGCATAGGTGGAATGGTCGAAATTCTCAACAGAGAATTTCATCTCACAGTTAATAACGCAATTCTTGTGAAATATGAAATAAATTTCACGACTTTTGAAAGGATAATAGTTACACGTACATTACTCGACTTATATATTATTGGATATACTTTTTGTAAACGTACTCGATACAATAAAAAACAAATAAAGATTAAAGAAACTACAATTTGTATTGTTTATTATTATTATACAATCATATATATATTATTTGCAGAATATTTTATAACACATATTTATAAAACATACTATATAGAAAGCATATTTAATATGATTCATGTCTATTGTTAAAAACAGATTTATGTTTACAATTCATTGAAATCTATCTTGAAATATTTAAATTCATCATCACGTAAGCCTTCTATTGACACAATAAATAAAAATTAATACTTTATTATTTTTATTTAATTACATTTATTATAAAAATTATTTGCTATTTAATCAAAAAATAGAAAGAATTTATTGATTATTTTTATATTTTCTGGAATTAGTTTTTCTGAAAATCTATTAATTGTGTCTTAATAATTAAATACATTTAGAAATTTAATGTAACGTACGCAAAGTTCCGAACTTATACACAGATCAACTGTTTCTAAGTAATTTATAGTTTGTACATTTGCATTTGAAAATGAATGGCAACGTCATTTGAGTAATGAATTTACAGGGTCATTCTTAAAACTATTATCGATAAATGTAATTTAACATGAAAATTAAATCGATATGTATTCGAATTTGTAAATACTCCTTAGGCAAAAGTAAACTTTGGCTATTGAACACGCTTCGTGCTAATGCATTTGCTTTGCATTAGTAATTGCACGTCAGGTTGAACTAGCTAACAAAACAAAAGTTGCACACCTGTGTACAGTGGTTGTTTTCTATATATTAAACATGAACGCATACACACGCATATAAGGTATTGATTTATTTTAAATAAAATGCTACTTATTCTCTGAGAAATTAGATTTAAATAATTAAAAAATTAAAAATATAAAAAAAATGAGGAGAATAAAAAATGAAAGAATAATAATTATATGTATATGTAAAATAGTACAAAAAATTATTTATTTTTACTGAATCTAATTTTATTAGATTTTGCATTTCATTTTTATAAAATAAAAGATTTAAGAATAAAAAAACACAGATCTAACATGAAAATTTCAGGAATATTCAAAAGTTCATAGACCTCAGATGATTCATGAATCCATTTTATCTGTGAGGTGATTCATACATCAGTTTTGTATCATATGTACAAGATGACTCAAATCCAAGTCTCGCGTCTGACGAAATTACGTGTTGAAGCGAAATATTCTGAAATTCTGATTGCTGTTTCTATGTTAAAGTCATTTTAATTTATCTTGTTGTTTTCATGTTTATTTAAATTCTTAATATTATTTTATTTCTATAATATACATGTATATAATTGCACACTGAATTAAAATTGTTACAGAATTTTTTTATTTTCATTGATTTTGCGTAGTATTTATATTTTTTTATTAAGTCTAACATTAAGATCAATTATTAAAAGTAACATAATTGTGTATATATTTTTTTTAATTCATCCATTCTCTCTCTCTCTCTCTCTCTCAATCCTTAAAAAAAATTGTTTGCAGGTGTTTCTCAGCAAACAAATATGTTTCATATTAAATTCGTTTTATTGCTATTAAAACTTAATAAATATCAATAAGAATTATTTTTGCTATTGTACCCTCAATCTTTAAGAAACAAAGTTAGATTGTCGAATCAATCCTGCCAAAAAGTTCACAGGCATCTGTTATAAAGATCACAATACGCGTGTAAAATTCCTACTTGATATCATATGTCCGTATTCGCGTGTTCATGTGCACGTGTATACGCCGATGTCAACGTGCGGCTGTCATCCGTTAGGAGAACAACGCACGTCCTGTTCAGCGACTCAGAACACCGATATCCCATCCGTTCGTCTGTCCGTTCCTTCCCTTTGTCTCATACCTTTGTTAGCGCAAAGTTTAGTCCGACATGTGCTACTTGTGGCGTATACTTGTATGTATGAATGAATGAAAGAGATAGAATCGATCGTGCTAGAGAGAGAGAGAGAGAGAGAGAGAGAGAGAGAGAGAGAGAAAGAGAAGAGAAACAGAGAGAAAATTGGACAGCGTCAGATAACTCGTAGGGACAATCCGATTTCCGTTCCGACTTCGTTAAATCCGGAAAAATTTCGTATCACATTCGAACGATAGTTGAACGATAATCGAACGTTAGATGATACGACAGCAATATAGGCATCATTAACTATTTTTATCGATGGCAGCAATGCTGCAGTACGATTTGGATGAAAAAACTCATGTAGTATGTGATACATGACATGATATTGAATTATTATTAAATATAAAATAATACAAGAAGACTTTTTTTATACAAATAATAAAATATTTTAAACAAATGCCAACTTTGAAAAATTATTCTAGATATTTTCTGATATTAATGATAATAAAGCTTTTGATGTCATTTATCATGATAAATGTTATCCGAAAAGATTTAAAAAATATGATTTCTAAGTAAAATGCCATTTATTAACTGTAACATGATTTTCCGTAATCCAATTATAGAAATGTATGAAATATTTTATTGCACACGTAGCTTTGATAAACATATATCGTTATTTATGTGATATATAATCGGATTGAAAATAGGTGTCGATTGCAATACACCATTGATTACTACAAGGTAATGTCAGCTGACAGGAACATGCTGCAGGTCACTGCGGGACCGTTATTTTCCACGTGCTTTTGATAAAAATATCATGCAGCGCTCGACTGAGCTGCTACGATATATCGGTGCAAGCTTTTGCAAAAGTAAGTTATTTCCCAGTGAAAAATGGGAAAGCGTCCTGCTTTAACTGTGCGTTCGTTCGCGCGCTGCTTGGTTTTCTGACGAACAAATATCTGGCACGACAAACACGATACAGGTGCACCGATTTGACCATCGAATAGGTGAAGTAAATTCTATTAATAAAAGTTTAAACGTTCAACGTACGATCGGCTGCCAAATCGTTTTGCGCGTATTTAGACATGATATTTCCGCAGTAGAAATGATTTGCGAGGAGATGATTTCATGATACGATTAAATCATCATCTTTTTTATCACCATTTGATGTTATTACAATATACAGCTAAGTTTTTGTGTAGATGTAAATGTGTGTCTACAACCTGCTTTTGAATTGTAATGTTCATTAATTCAAAATGTGTAAAGGCGATTTGTAAGCATCTCTTAGATTTTGATATTGTTTTTATTAAATAATTTTACGATAAATTAAGTAGAAAACCCTGTGTCAGATTTTAGAAATAGAATAACTATAGATTAATATCACTATATTGCTACATTTATTAATCCATAATGTATACAATACATTTAAAATAGCTTCGCAGTTTAAAAGCGTTGGAGAATTTTTAGATTTAAAATGGAGCTCAATATATATGTGTATACACATACACACACACACACACACACACAATATATATATAAATAGCATGAATTTTTATATCTTAAAATTTTTCGTTTAAGAACAACTTCCGCTTTCATATACATTTTTTTTATATTTCAAGATATCAGTATCTGAATCAAATATATTCAGAACAACTAGAAACAAAATTTTGCGAGAGAAATTCTTTAGAAATTCAAGGATAATGTAGATGAAAAATGATAAAATAGTAATATATAATCAGTACAATTTTATTTATATAAAAATCCATGTCACTTTGATATTTTGGCTATATTTAAACATCATATGATACGTTCTAAAAACTTCTGATGACACATATTTGGCAGTCATCAGAGATGATAATCGAAACACTGACCATCTCGTTGTCGTCATCTCTGCCGTCGCCTACTCATTTTTTCCTCTGATGGGTTATCGGCCTGAAAGTCAGTTTTATGGCAGATGAAGCGTGTTATGGAAAGCGCACCGTTGTACTTTTACACACTCCCGTGCTCACAAAATCGAATTATATTCCGATCGATATACAGCAAAGTCAATAGAAAGAAAGAATGAAGATATTGTTCCCACCTTTTTTATACATAGCGATATACATATCGCTACTTTTCGTTTAAACATCATAATCAAAAGATTAAAATAAAAACGCAGAGCATAGCGTTTTTGCTTCACATAAAATTATTATTCAATAAGATGTAATCGTAGATTACATGAAATATTATTA